AAGTTGTAATTAGGTTAATAATTAGAAATTATTTTTAAATTTTTTTATTAGTTACACATAACAGTACAATGATCTTGACAATTCATACATTTGAATCAAATGGGGTATAATTTCTCATTTTTCTGATTGTACAGGTTGCATAATCACATTGGTCATACAGTCACCTATATACATACAGCAATAATAATGTCTATTCTGCTGCCCTTCCTATCCCCCCTCCCCTCCCCTCCCCTCCCATCATTAGAAATTATTTTCTAATTTCTCCAATTTAGACAGGTATTATAATAAAGAGGAACATAATAAAAATTGATAGAAGTAATAGAAGTGGTGATGTCTGGATGATGTTATACATACCAGAGGGGAAGATCAAGTAGAAATAATATATAGAAAACTTAATTGATATAAGCTTAATTTATTTAATACATTTTGAATAGTACCATGCTATTAAAAATKCCTTTTCCCCCTTAGCACCTAAAGAATATACTTTCTTTGAACAATTTAATATGAGGCTACAAAAAATATTTCAATTGATTTGTATGAAGAACACATATGACCATATTAAAACTTACAAGTTACAGTTTGAAAGTCAAACAGAAATCTAAAAGTCAGTAATACATAAGGCAAAAATGAATGGTTACCTTAATATCCTTCATAAATAAAGAAAATAAAGAACCCATCTGCTAATCTATTTATCATGTTCTTTCTCCTTCTTTTATTCATTTCACAAATGGTGTGGTATTTTTCTAGACGAAGATTTGGCTAACTTTTCCCATAAAGAACCAGATAGCGAACGTTTTCAGTTGTGCAAATATTAAGGTCTTCCTTGTAACTACTCAACTCCGTATTTTAGCATGAAAGCAGCCATAGACAGCACATCATGCAATAAGCATGACTGTGTTGCAATGAAACTTTATTGTATGTAGCAGGCTGCATTTGTCCCATAGCTATTGTTTAATAATCCTTGTTCTAGAACATAAAAATAAAACCCCTAAAATCRGCATACTGTAGTGACGCAATCACATGAATGTTTATAGTAGCACAATTCACAATAACCAAATCACAGAACAACTCAGATGCCCATCAATAGATGAATGGATTAAGAAAATGAGGGTATATATCCCCCAATGGAGTTTTACTCAGCCATGAAAGCTAAGAAGAATGAAATTATGGCATTTGCTGGCCCATGGATGGAAATAGAGAACATCATACTAAGTGAAATAAGCCAGACCCAGAAAATCAAGGGTCAAATGTTTTCCCTTATATGTGGACCTTGGAGCAAAGTAAAGGGGGAAAGACATGAGTGGGGGCAGGTGAGGGGAATCAGATATCATAAAGATACAGGGAAGATCAGTGGAGTAGAAGGAGATTGAGAGGAAGGGAGCAAGGATAAGAAAGGAATATAATGTGGAATGAATTTTACAAAATTATGCTATGTGCATGTATAAATATGCCATAGTGAATTCCACCTTTAAATATATCTATAAAGCCCCAATAAAAATAAATAATCAAATGAAAGAAAGACCAGTAGAGTAAAGGAAGGAACATAGGGGGAGGCAGGAAAAGAGAGAAGAAGGGTATTAGAACTAAAATGGTGTAAATCAAATACCATGCATTTTGTCAGAATGAACCCAAATATTATGCATGACTCTAAAATTCACTAATAAAATGAAATAAATAAGCCCCTGCTCTCAGAAAATTTTCATTTTGATAATATAAATAATAAATAAATGTAAATTTGTACATAAAAAGTTAAGTGGGAAAGAAGAGAGGCTGTACAGCAGGCTAAGGACAGAGTGAAGAATAAAGATGAAAAACACTTTTCAAATAGAAAAATAAGTAAAGATACAAAAATCTGTCTATAATACAAAATACTAAAAGGTCTGATTTAATGATGATTAAATCAAAGACATTAAAAAAGAGGTAAGTATAATTTTTCACCTCACAGAATGGCAATCACTAAAGTCACAGTAAACAATGTTGGCAAGGATGGTTATATATTGATATGGATGATTGTCAATAATTTGTTGTCAAATTCTGAGAGCAATTTGAAAATACCACTGACATTGCAAATAGGCACCCTTCCTATCTAATATTTTCACTTATTAGAATGTCTTCTATGAAACATAAAATGTATGCAAGTAAGTATCCTAGGATGTTTGATGTGATAACATGTTTAGCAAAAAACAGACAACTTGTTCATAATAGAGGATACTTTAAATTGTGGGAATTTTATTCAATATGTGACACAGTCAAGAAATGTCTATAAAACACTTTAAATTTATAAACTAGGTCTCAATATTTTGACACAGAAAATTTCTGAAGTAGATTGTTATTTTAAAAGATTTGCTAAAAAATGTACAGGTAGATAGGTACTATTTTTCTCTTAAAAAATAAAGCTAAATATATTGCACTGAAAACTTGTGGGCAAAGAAGAGACTCCAGCAAAATGATGGGATGATTAGACATACATATAGGCAAAACTGAAACGTGATTCCCACACATACACAGAGACAGCTAATTGGAATACAGCCAGGTTTTGGCCTCCATATTCATAGAATAAAACCATATCCCTACAGTAAATAATAAATTRTAATCAGGTTACATGGAGGTAGAGAGAAGAAATAGGGGAAGCTTTCTTTTAAAATGAAGGAAAATCTTAAAAAGACGGACTGAGGGTTCTAGCTCAAAGATAGCGCACTTTGCCCAGCATACACTAGGCCTTATATTTGATTCCCAGGGCTGCAAAGAAAAAGGAGTAAAATTTTATAACTTTATAAAAGCAACATAAATAAATATTATGCACTCAAAATAATGAATAATTTATTTCATAAGACTTAAGATTGATGACTGAACTATTTTTTCTTTTTTCTTTTTTTCACAATTCCTTTTTTTTTTATTTTAACATTTCATACATACATGGATTATAACTTCCCATTTTTGTGGTTGTACATGATGTGGAGTTACACTGGCCCCGTATTCCTATATGAACATAAGGAAGGGTTGTCTGATTCATTCTCCTGTCTTTCCCATTCCCATCCCCCGCTCCTTCCCCCCACTCCCCCTTGTCCTCAGGGGAACCTCCCCCACCCCATTGTGAGTCAGCATTTGCATATCAGAGAGAACATTCCACCTTTGGTTCTGAGTTGGTCACAATGAATTCTACTATTACATATAATTATAATGCAACAATAAAAAATTTTTGAAAGAGGCCAGGTATGAAGGGTGATATAGCTCAGTTGGTAGAGTGCTTGATGCACAAGGCCCTGGGTTCAATCTCCAGCACTATTAAAAAAAAAAAATAATAAAATAAAAAAAAAATAAGGCCAGGTGCCATGGTGCATACCTGTAATCCCAGGAGCTCTGGAGGCTGAGGCAAAAGGATCAGAAGTTCAAAGCCACCCTCAGCAATTTAGTGCAGCCTTAAATAACTTATCAAGATCCTGTCTCAAAAAGCAGACAGGGATGTGGCTTAGTGATTAAGCACCCCTGGGTKCAATCCTTTGGACTAAACTACAACATAATGACTAACAGCCTTCTTACATACCAACAACTAGAGGTTTCTTTTCCTTAACATTAAATTCATTTAACTGATAAACAGAGTATAATGTGATGCTTCAGTTATATAGCTATACACTGTATAAGATTTAAATCAGATTAAACATACCCATTTCTTCATTTATCATTTCATTATGGTGAAAACTCAAATTCTGTTTTAGCTTTTTGAAATATACTGTACATTATCATCATCTGTAACCATCCTGTTCTGCAGTAGCACATCAGAACTTCTGGTGCCTAACTCTAACTTAGTGCCCAGTGATAATCTCTTCTTCATTTATTTTTATTTTTTTGTGATGCTGGGGATTGAACCCAAGGTCTTATACCTGTGAGGCAAGAACTCTACCAACTAAGCTATACCCCACCCGCTACCTTCCCCCAATATAAGAACCAGTTTTAACATACAGTGGGAAATAATCTCAACTTCTCAGTAATCTTAGAAAGGAGGATCACAAGTTTGTAGCCAACCTCAGCAATTTAGGAAGACCCTGTGTCTCAAAAATGGGGGGGGGGCACTGGGAGCCAGGATTAGTGGCATACGCCTGTAATCCCAGTGGCTTGTAAACTGAGGCAGGAAGATTCCAAGTTCAAAGCCAGCCTCAGCAACTTTGGTAAACTGCTTATGGTTCAATACCAGTACCACAAAAAATAAATAAATAAATAAAATTTTAAAAAATCAGGGCTGTAATGATTATAATAACAAAAAAATGGGGAATGGGAATAAATCTTAATCAAGAATTTGATAATTCATAACAAAACTTATATTATTATAATATAATGGAAAAGTTTCAGTCAATTAAGAGCTATGCATGGTGATACACTTCTGTAATCCCAGCAATTTGAGAGGCTTAGGCAGGAGGATCACAAATTATAGGCTAGCCTCAGCAATTTAGTGAGACCCTATCTAAAATGAAAAATGGTAAAGCACCCTTGAGTTCAAACCCTAATACCACCAGGGGGAAAAAATGTATAGTGCAGGCCTTCCACATAAAATATAATTGCCCTTACTTTGGAATTTAAATGAAAAAGACTAAAAATACATTAGAAAAAGTTATTAAGGAAACTCCAGACCTGTTCCCATTAGAATCAGAAACAGGATTAGATTGTTCCCTCTATTTCTAACAGTTCTGAGGTTTCCAACAAAACACTGAGATAAAAATATGGGACTGGGGATGGAGCTCTATGGCAAGCTAGAGCACTTGCCTGACATTCGGGTTAGACTCCCACAAGGAGGAAAAAAAAAAAGTCAATGGAAAATAAAAGAAAAGTGAAATGTAATTCTGAGAAGTTCATCATAAAACAATTCATGTACAGAAAAGGCTGGAGATGTGGCTCAAGGGCAGAGCTCTTACCTAGTATGCAGGAGACCCTGGATTCAATCTTTAGCACCAAACAAAAAAACCCCAGAATTTTGTTAAAATGGTTCAGCCTATTGGGGGGCTTTTTCATTCACAATCTGTTCCCTTACAGATTCTGAGAGGTTTTGAACCAGGTCCTATMAAGAAATAAGGACSCAGAGGTTCAGTAAAAGKGTCTGTGAAAGTAYAGATGTAGAAGGGGATCTCACCCAGCTCACAGTCCAGGAAAATGCCATTGCCTCTGGCTCTCACGTCTAACAGCAGAGGTCTGGAACAGCTCCTGGAGCTTCATAGCCATCATTCAGTTGCAGAAGCTTCCAGCATCCCTGCTGGACTGATGGTCGCCTTGCCTTGGTGGACAGAGAGGCTTTGCAGATGCCAATAGCCCACTCAGATCTCTCTCCCACTTCCACCTCCCAGAAATGCCTCTCAGAATAGAAATCTGGAAAACCCAGGACAACCGGGTTGACTGTAAACCTAGTTGGAATATCAGGGACGTTTTGTTTTCTCATTGTATATCAGATACATTTTTTTATCCCCAGAGACAATCAGGTTAGGGTGGGCTGTTTCAGGGTCTAGAAATATATCTGCTTTGAATTCTTTARTTATTTTCTGCAGAGCAGAATACTGGGGAGGAAGATTGCAAGTTTCCCTCCTTAAATGAATYGAAAAGATTGGTGGGCTGACCTCACTGTCAGACTTCTGGTAGAAATGCTTCATCTGTGACAGCAATTCCACCTCAGACAACACATTGTGCTCTGTGACCCTGCTTAGTAAACCTTTGAGTGCAGAAGCGTAGTTTGAAAATGCTGTTATGTTTTCACTGAGTTTCTGTTCAGTGTCTTTCTCTTCTTCAGCTAACCTAGCAGGAGCTGCCTGTTTTCCTTGCTCTAAAAATTGGTTCGGTTGTTCAAATTCAAAGGATAATTTCTGTTTCTGGTGTTCCACCGTCTCTCTCWGCTCAATGCGTTTATTGCCTTGAATGCTTATTAATTTTTGAACCTCTGCCACTTGCCTCTTCAGGGGCTTGATRTAATTTACAAGCATTCCCCTGTGATAAGAGGCAGCCTCCTTGATGGGCCTCATGTAGTGGCCYTGGTAGTCTGGGGGCCCAGCACATAGGGAACACAACAGCTCCAGGTCCTCCTCACAAAAAGGGGTCAGGACCTCGTCRTGTTTCTCACACAAGCTCATCTGGTCCTGGCTCTGCCTCTTCCTCATGCTGAGGTGGAGGAGCTTGGCAATTTCAATCGTCCTTCCTAGCTGGGTGTTGCTCCTACAGTGCCTTTCTTTACACTGATGACAACAGACATGACAAGGGAAACTGTCTTGTGGATCTGCCCAGGACTGCTGGATGCAGGAGCGACACAAGTTGTGCCCACATTCGATGGTGATTGGGTCTTTCAGTTCATCCAGGCACTTGACTTCTTCCTGAAGTCTTGTGAGGGCTGCTGCCACCACCATTGGACTGGCTGAAAGTCTGCACTGAGGTGGGCATTTTTTAGGAAGTTGGCTTTGTGGGTATACTCCAGCCAGATGGTCTCACTTGAGSCCCCTGGTTCTCACAGCCCTTGAAGTCCTAGCAGACCCTTGAATTCCAGATGCAACAGGAAGTCTCTTCCAGTGGCCTGCAGCCAATCACAGCTGCTCTTCCAGCCTTTGGCAGCTCAGAGTTGCGGAGTAGAAGGCTCCAGAAGGCCTGTTTTCCTGTCCTGTTGTCCTGTAAGAAGCTCTGAACTATTTTTTTTTTTCAACAAAAGGTTGAAAAAGAAAAAGGCAATGACTCTTAGACCAGTAGAATATATTTTGGAGACACATCATCTAAAGGATTGGTTTTCTAGAGTCAAGAAAAGAATGTATTTTGTGAWACATCATCATTTCTTGAGTCTCTAAGTGTGTGAATGAAATCTCTTAGTACAAATATTTACAGGGTGATGACCACCCTCTCAAGTTCTAAAATATTTTTCTGAAGCAAATTTTGATATATTTAATTTCATTCATATAACTCATTGATGATTCATCAAATGTATAACAGTACTCTACATATTAAGAGTGTTTATTCTGTTTTTCCAAAGTAAAGGGTAAGCTATTCCTTGAATGCCTACCTTTCAGATGGGGCCCAAGGGCAAAAAATTTATTACCATGMACTTTTTCTTTAGAGAAATGAAAATAAATACAAATCAATAGTAATATCTACCTGATACACCTGACAGTACACAGAGGTATGGCTAATTATCAGACTGAATTCATAATTATAATCTCAAGATGATGTTTAATTTCACGATGGATTGAATTTTTACCTGTCCCCTCCCTGTGCCCTGAACTGTTCCCTAGAGTTAGTATACTAACAGGGAGCAATTTGGCTTTGTAAAATTTTTACTTTTTATAGTTGCTTTTTATGAAAATGCTAACAATTATTAAAATGATCAAAAATAAGAATACAAAGGACTAAAGAGTTCAGCCACTCCAATAATTGCATAGTTAGATTTTATTGGCTGAATATATACTCTTAGGGGGTTCATATTCGATTTCATCAATTAAAAATTTTATCTTATCTATATTTACTCCTTCTTAAAATTCCAGAATTATTTAGAGTGATCAAGAAAAATAAAAAGCACAATTATTTCTACTGTAAGTCTAAGAGACATGTCTTATATTTGCATCACTGCCAGTCATAGAGCAAATGATTTTATATGCAGGACAATCTCACCAAATACTCAGGACATACTTTGTAATGTACTTTCGCTTTACCTTTTGACCAAGACAAACAAGATAAATACCTTTTTATGTATTTTCTCCTAGACTTTAGTTTCCAATATATATTTTTTTTCTAGTATTTCTTCAAAGCCTACACGCTGATGCTTTCCCCCCTCAACTCTCTCAGCTTTCCTCCCTTCATTCCTTCTCTTTTCCTTCTCTCTCCTTTTTTTCTCCCCACCCATTTCTAGCTATCTCCTTTAAGGAGGGAGATGGTTAAATGTTCTCTGGTCTCAAGCAATTATAATATGTTAAGGCATAATTAATATTTGCCACAAGTTTATTTACTTGTTAAAGGAATATTTCTGACTGCATTGTTTTATTTCATATTAGTCCTACTTTAAAAAATATTCTTTTTTTCTTTAATTTTTATTGTTGGTTGTTCAAAACATTACATAGTTCTTGACATATCAGCACTAGATAAGACTTTTGCTTCTCACGCTCAGTTCTGTGAGTTGATTTTTGTTGTTGTTTTCACTAATCTAGAATATTTGTTAGCCTTAAATTTCCTATGTTGTTTTTCTGAACAGATATTAGCAAATAGAAGGCAATTCTTGATGATTTCCCTTCATTTTAAAAGAAAGCTTCCCCTATTTCTTCTCTCTACCTCCATGTAACCTGAATACAATTTATTATTTACTGTAGGGATATGGTTTTAATCTATGAATATGGAGGCCCAAACCTGGCTGTATTCCAATTAGCTGTCTCTGTATATGTGGAGAAAGTGTTTTAATTTTTAATATCACTAAATACAGATTGTTCTGTTTCTCTTCTGTGTTTTAAATTTACCTAGTAATTTCTTAATTTTTTTAAAAAAATACCACAGATCATCTGATTTCAAGTTTTTCCTTTTATGGCAATGATCATCAACTGGGTGTGCTGGGAGGTTTTTGAAGAAAAGACATGAAACTGACATCTTTAAGAGTTGGAAAACTGGGATRACATTAGCAATATGGCTGACTAGATATACTTGGCAAGCTTCTCTCCACAAAACAGGTGCAAAATAAAGTAAAAACTTCTATTTTACTGGTTCATTTGAAGCCAAGTATTGGAGCATAGTGGAGACGTGGCAGGTTCTGTGGAACACTAAGACATCRTGGCCTGTAAAGAGGTGTAGTAAGCACACAACATCTATTGTCTAATCTCTCCAGATCAACCTACAACCAGAGAGATTTCACATGGTGAAAAAAGTATAAGGAGGAGGTCCATAGCAGTCACCACCAAGGGCATGAACACATGAGGTATTTACTTCTGGAGAAATCTACATCTTTCACAGGTTCTGAGCCCACTTTGGGTAATCAGCTGGGCAGCCTGCCTTGAGCAAGTCTGCCCTGTAAGTCCTATAAGGGTACTTGTGTAATCCTCAGACTGGCAGGTACCCTGTCTGGACTAATAGGCAGATCCTCTTTCTCGACTACTAGAAACATTGTGCCATTCCCTCCTAGGCCCACCAGAGTGGCTCTACTCCCACATGGTCCTCAGGAAATGATGGTATTTTGCTTACGCAGCTGTGCCAATTGTACCTTGCCTGCATGGGTCTGTCAAAGCAACACCATGCTCATATGACCYATGGAAATCGACAAATGCTCCATACAGACAACTAGGTGCTTCACTCCTTGAGTCATCAGAGAATCTACCTCACCTAAGAGAACTGTATTCCAGCTGGTAGAACAATCTCACAAACCCCTGAAGCCTATGTCACTGACAAATCCACAGCATTGCTGTTGCTGATTACAGCTGAAGAAGATACCTGAACACTACACTATGGTGTCCACCTGGAACCAAAGCCAATGTAGCTTTCCCAGGTGATATCCCAGAAGGAAGTCTTTTACTACAAAAGGCACCCATAAAATCGATAGAGTTGCAAATATCAACCTAGGGACAGAAAAAGTGTGAAGAAGCAAGGTAATATAATGCCTCTAAGGGAATGCAGTAGTTCTTTAGCAATAGATCTCAAAGAAAGTCAACGAATTGCCTGAAAAAGAATTTAAAATGATGATCTCTAAACTCAACAAGATACAAGAGAATACAGACAGATGATTCAATAAGGGAAGATAATTTATTATCTGAATGAAAAAGTTCAACAAAGAGTTCATTTAAAAAAGAAGCAAATGGAGATCTTAGAGCTAAATAACTCAATAAAAATAAATAAAAACACAGCTAAGAGCCTCAACATAGGACTAGATCAAATAAAAAAATAATAATCTGAGAGCTGAAGGCAGTTCTTTGGAAATGACCTGACAAAAGAAAAAAAAACTAAAAATAATGAAGTCTATGAAACTTATGGGATGCCATTAAGTAAGCAATTATACTACTATATGGGTACTTCAGATGGAGAAAAAAAAGGCACAGAAAATCTAGTCATTGAAATAATAGCTACAAACTTTCCAAATCTTGAGAAAGATATGACATTCAGATCCAGGTAACTCAGAGGATCCTTAATAGATTTTACCAAAATAAAAAAGTCCTAAAACATATTTTAATCAAACTATCGAAAGCACAATAGAGAATTCTAGCAAGAGAAAAGCATCAATTCACATGTAAGAGGATCCTCATTAGATTGACTGCAAACTTCACAGAAGAAATCTTACAGGGCCTGAAAGAATGGGATGATATGATATATTCAATGTCACCATAGAAAACAGCTGCCAACCAAAAATATTATAAGCAGCAAAAGTACCCTTCATAGAAGAAGAAATAGTYGGTCCCAGATAAACAAAACCCAAGGAAATTAATCATCACTAGATTGAGGGAAAGGGAGAGAAAAGGGAAATTGCATGGAAATGAAGGGAGACCCTCATTGCTATACAAAATTACATATAAGAGGTTGTGAGGGGAATGGGAAAATAAACAAGGAGAGAAATGAATTACAGTAGATGG